TCTAATAATATATTAGTGGACATGTTGAATAAGTACTTTACCTAATAATTCGTCTCCAAAACATAGCCATATCACAAATGGCCCAAGTTACTGCTTGAGTAGGAAAAATGCATCCTCTCTCTCTCTCTCTCTCTTTATATATATATATATATATATCAGTGTTATTAAAGGCGAAAAACGCAAAAAAAGCTCTAAAGTCCGTTGGGGCTTTAAGTGCAAAGCGCAAATAAAGCGTGAGCTTTAATTAAAAAAGGCGCAACGAGAGAAAAAAGTAAAAATATGCATGTAGTCCAAGACTAATCATTATAAGCATGAATAACAAATATATGGAAAAAGAAATTGAAAAACAATTCACGATAAAGTGAAATATCAATTGTTTAAGGTCGCCTTTTTAGGATTACACTCATTGGCAAGGAAAACTATGCCTTAGAGATTTGATGTGATACTAAAGCGCCCACAAAGCGAGGCGAAGCGCTCAACGTGTTTTGAGCCTCGCTTCAGGGCTTAAGCGCGCCTTTGACAACACTGATATATACATACATATATATATACACACACATATATGATGTGTGTGTATGTGTGTTCTATTGTTCCATATGCTTTATTCATCGACTATACCACAGGTTCAACGATCTGTTAGCAGTGGTTAACATATTATGAGACAAAAACCACAATTTAAAAGAATCTGGTTAAAGAGTAATACTTTTGAGGAACCACACCAGCTTGGCAGATTAGTCGCTCTTAGCATGTTCCGCTTCTATTTTTGCATAGGCTAGTTGTTGCAACATTCCTTTTGCTATTTAAACTCCTGTGTCTTTATTAGGTCTGCTGAATATCTTGTCCTCTCCTTTTTCTTAGTTGAATCTGCTTGGGTTCTAAAGTTTACTGAAGAAGAACATTGATTTCTTATCCATATTTGGTTAAAGTTTGAGCGAGGTAGCCTAAGAGTAATCTTTTAATTTGGATTTACTCATAAGTGAATGAAAATTGAACCTTGAAAAGCTGAGCCTTTTCTTCTTCCGAATAAGGATTACAAACAGGAACATACATTTTTTGCGCTATCTAGACATGGTGAGTTCCCAAAGATTCCCTCAAGTTCATATTAAGGGATCAAAAAACATTTTTAACTAGCTTTAGTACAGAAACAACGTATATGAAACCATGTAACTCTTAGTTAGAGAGTACAAGTTTATTCAGGAAACACAGAAAAATGATATCTCCACCTCGCCTCCTCTCAGCGAAGGGAAACCTTTCCTGGAATTCCACATTTTTTGGAACACAACAACCCAGTCTTATTTGGAAAACTAAAGTAAACGCTCACCTCTTGTCATAATCTCTACCTGTTTCAATCATCCTTCTCTTTACCTTCTTTCGTCTGATCTGAGCTACTTGCGCCTGAGGACTCGTTATAAAACACCTTATAGCTACGAAGTGGTAGCTGTTGGATGTATGACCTTATGAGATCAAAATAGAGAGGGAATTGATTAAATGCAAAAAACACCACAGGTATGCATGTCACCCCGTATATTGGAAATGCTGCTCTCCTTAAGTTATCCTGGAGGACAAAGAAATGCGCAGCGCAGAATGAGACCAAGATAGCAGTTATTGATGCAAAAAGCGAAGTTAATCCTAGGAGCAACTTTCTTGGCAAGTCTTTCTCGAAATCACTGTGTTGGCATCGAGATGTGAGGATAGCTAGAAAAAACACCAGGGCCGTGACAGAGAAGCAAAGAGAAACAAGTGATGAGATAGAAAATACTGAAAAAGCAGGTTGACTTTCAAGGTATGGACGGCCATAATCATCGGCTCCGCCTGGGACTGCAGAAGCTGTAGCAAATGCAACTGTAGCAATCAGTGCCGCAACGACAGAGAACGAATTTGAGGTTGTGACAAGCCACTCAGTGCCTTCTTTGAGTAACTTTGCATGCGTCTCTCTGAAGATCTCTCTTGGTGTCTGACCTTTTTTATTATAACGGACGTATGATTGCTTTGGCAAAGTGTGCTTCACATACTGCATTATGACGGGTAAAATTCTTTTAACGTATGTAAGTTTAATCCTTAATGATATAAAAAAGGATGGTTGTTAGAGATCTCTTACCTTGTACCACTTCCTTTCGCCTTGCAACTGTAACGCAGTACCAGGGATGCGCCACAACTCGTGCTTCTGAAACAATGCAGCTAAGTGTACTGCATTGTTTTCTTGTTTGTCCACATGATAAAACACGCGCTCTGGATACTTTTGTCCTATTAACCAGTTATAGACGGCTGTTTGCCTATGCTCTACAGCCAAAAGCAAGATATTCTTCTCGTCAGAATCCGTATCTTGAATGGCTATGGGGAACTTTTTAAGGATCTCCTTCACCATCTCTACGATACCCATCTTTGATGCCACTAATAGGGGTGTCGCTTTGGTCTTCGACAACTCTGTATTTAGAACTATAGTTACTCTAGTTGCTTTTAGGGAACATATAGCTTCAAAGAAAATTGATCCTAACTTGGAATATTAGAACAAAATTTACAGCATTTTGACATGATAGATTTTGAGTTTTTAAAATTGCAGAATCTTGATGACACAGAACAAAAGTTTTCAGTGCCACACAGGTATGACCAGAAAGAGACGAGATTCTTTACCAGATTTGATATCATCTTTCTTTTTGTTATCTGTGCTTGAGGTTGCTGGTTGCTTGATCTGTGCAATGTCACTAGGTTCTTCTGCTTTTTCTAAATTAATATCTGTTGGAGGAGGTGCTGGAGGAGGTTTTCCAATTTGTTTATAGAGGCCTTGATCATAGAGGTCCTTATCTTCAGGCTTCTCCCCAGTATTTTCATAGAATTTGTAACTTTCTTCTTTCTCAATCATCAACTTCATAATTTTAACTGCCCATTGATGGTGCTTCTTCTTTACCTCTAATTTCTTTGTCCTTTGGAGCCCTGCATGCAACAAGATTTGAGACCTTATGACAATAACAACAACATACCCAGTAATATCCCACACCGTGGGGTCTCAGGAAGGTTAGTGTGTACGCAAACCTTACCCCTACCTTGTGAGGATGAAACCTTATGACATGATGTGGAAAGAAAAGAACAGAAAAGGAAAGGCAAACTTGTTAAAGTTTCATGAACAAATTTAAAATGTGAAAAAGGATGGGATTGCTGAAGAATCATTTTTAAGGGTCTAGGCCTTACACCCAAGAATAGTGGTCAAAGAAGTGAAGAATCATGAGGTCTCAGGTTCAGTTCCCAGCGGAGGCTAAAAACCGTAAGTGATTTCTTTCCATCTTGTCCAAGTCCTGGTGGATAGAGTTACATGATATTTGTTGCTGATGGGAGGTAGCAGGTATCCCGTGGAATTAGTCGAGGTGCGCGTAAGCTGGTCCGGACACTACGGTTATTAAAAAAAAGGGGAGGG